ATCCGAAACGTCAGGCAAATAAAACTCCTGTTCCAGTGATCGCATCTTCTTCCTCTGAGGCAGAACATTATTGGTGTCGGAAATGACCTTCGCTGTTAATTAGGTGGACGAAATTCATCGCGCCGTTAAATGCTTACGGACAGTTCCCCCGGAAGTTTGTTTGATGTTTTACTAACATGACAAGATTCTACTGCCGGGTGTCTCAGATGTGGATGCGAACTCAGCCATCCAGACGTAAAAAGACCCAATGTCGGAGATTGCATGCAACCATGAAATCCTGGCTCGCAATGGAGTTGTTTCTTTTTTAAACCACCAAGCTCTTCAATACACGTTACGGAGATTGCATGGCTTCAAGAACTAGAAGTAGATTTATTCTTGAAAAAGGTGCTTTACTGATATTTAGTCGACAAATGTGGGACTCGGATGGCCCATTAAATATCTTGTAGTTTGTATTAGAAAGACAAGAAAAATAACCCTGAGGTAACTTACACGGGTGACTAAGATCAGCCCAAGCAGAAACAGCACAACACAAGTGCCAAGGGTGAAGAGAACCTTGTGTTTGCCAAAAACATTTGGAAATTGATCCATCAGGCCACTAGTCAACGTTTCCAGGGTGCAAAACTGTGAACGTAGGAAAGGCAGGAACATGATTAAGTAACATCGTTAAAGTATAGGCATTTAATCATATACAGCTAGGTTCAAAATTAATTAGAATTAACGGTATTGTAAAATGAATCCTTAGTTTCGGGGCCTAACATTGGCAAACCAAATATGTATATTGACTTCCTTGTAAAAAAGGCGCAAGCTTCCGTATCCGTCATGAATGGACGTCATTGTCAATGTGGGCTTTGACTATATCCCCAGCTCCTTTTGTTTGTAGTAAAATCGCAAGGATTGTGTCGTGGGGTCGTCTTGGGAAAGTGTGAAGCGCGCCCTGCAGGCTTATGAACGAGTAATTTCCGAGGAGAGGACGGGTGGGGCATGCCAGGGAAGAAATTAGAAACCAATT